TACAATTCGGTAACTTTTCTTGCCATTTTTTGATATTATATATCTAAAATTAATAGATGTTGTAATAATTCAATTTGTTTAAAGAAATGTTGGATTTCGGTAGGGTAAAAATTATCAGTGACATAAAATTTGTAAATTCTGATGGTGAACGATTTAAAAATTTGAGATTACTTAATTTTAAATGGTCGAAATTTATAAATCAGAGCTAATATCTCGCAGTCGGGCGGGCCTACCAAAGACACGTCCAGACTTTCGAGCTTTTTTTGATCGGCCGTTGGAAAACCGACAGGGGACGGATAGCAACGAGGCTCCGTAGGTTGACTCGCGACGCTCTCGCCAGACTCGTCCACACAGCGAATTTGGAATGTCTCGCGCTCGTCTCCCCAGATTTGGACGCACCATTGTATCGCTGATCGCCATTCGCAAATATATTCCAGATACGTATAGTGAACAAGTGAACCGTTCGCAACGTTAAATAATTTTGATATTTAATTTTTATCGTGATGGCTTTTTATGAAAGTGTATACATAGAATTAATTGCATTAATTTGCAATAGCACTTAGAACCCACAGTTTTGTTATGGAGCCAGATTAAACCAATCAGAATGAGTACCAAAAAGAAATATACCAAAAAGTTTCGGTTAAGTTTAGATTAGGTCTATATTTTTATTAATTCAATTATTATTAATTCAAAACCAACTAAAACCTAATTCTAATCTAACCTAAACTCACCCCTTCTTTTGCGTATTTCCGGCTATTACCTGGGTATTCCTAGGTTTAACTAATATTCGAACTTACGGTGTAAATTTATGGAGGGCCCATAACTATAAATTCGCCGTACAAAAAAAATTCACCAATTTTATCAATAAAAATTAAAACTTATAAATCATACTATTTTTTATAGAAATGATGGAATAAGGATGAACGGGGTGTCGGTAGACCAAGAAGATACTTGGAATGTAAGTGTTAATTTATACTCGAATTGAGTTGCCTCACAGTATAGGCATATTAATAATAATAATAAAAAAAATAATAAATATTATAAATAAATTAAAATATAGTTGGCTCCAACGATAATTTAGTTTGCAGCTTCTTTTCATCATACCTAATAAAAAAACCACGACAACCACTACTTATAGTATGTACCTACATATGTATTTTTAAACATCATTAAGAGATTTAAGTATAAAAAGGTGCCCATAATGTGAGTAGCGGCATTGACGGTTTTTTGTTATGAGGAAAATAAACAGCAAAATATATTATCGACTGCAGCAACTATGTATTCCTAGTTTACATTCAGTATGTCCAATTAATATGGAATATTATACCTATACATACTTTTAAAGATTTTCTACCATTATATTTTGATAGTTAAGTTTTTGAAATTATTTGTTAGCTTCTTAAACAAAACAGACCCATAATAATTCAAATCTTTATCATCCAAGACTTTCAAGAATTATGAAGTAATCTCACGTCAAATTTTTTTAAAATTATTGCATGCCTTAAGTATTTGCAAAGTTAAGAAAAATATTTCTTTGCATACCTTGCAATTAATATATTTGGTCTAATTTATCAGTTCTGCATCATATCCGAAATTCAGATTGTGTGTGATACAACGAAGAGTGAACGTGCAACGTGAAAAACAAGAAAAATGGCAAGTAAAAAAAATGTAAAACTTTAATTACTAATTACACAGTCCTTCCCTTGAGTTTTTCTGCCTAAAATCTATATTGCCTTCCCTAAGATTTTAAATATAAATGATTGAAATTCATAACAAGTTTGCCACAATTTAAACTTAAGATAATTATTTAATTATTAAATCCATAATTATATTAAAAAATAACACTTACGAAGTTAATAAATATTAACTATTTCTAGTTAATCATTTAATAATTATTCTGATAAAAACACGCTGGATTTTTTATTTTGGAAATCATACAGGCTATAATCATTAATATCATATGTATTAACAATACTTAAATTAAAATTTGTTTGAAGGAATGCTACTTGAAGTATTAACTCGGAATAATTATTAAAAACTGCTCATCGGCGTTATCGATGTCGGCGTCTTGTGACTGTTGTCTGGCTGATTGGCCGTTTAGGTACCTATAGTTTGATTTCAGATAATGCAGATTTTAATGTGCCATTTGTGGTTTTGTTACTGGAATTTGTTTACATATTTGGTATACTCTATGAAGTGCTCATGTCTATTTTTCAATTATTAAAGTACCTATTTAGATACATTTAAAATTAATTAATTAGTGTATAGTAATTGAATTATGGGTTTGTTTATTTTTTATGAAATGTAATTTTTTTCTATTAAAATAAACATAGCTTTACTTACAAAATCGCTAGCTAGCCATTTTCTTAAATACAGGCTGTTAATTAAGTATCTGGCCAACTTCAGTAGGTGATTCTTTGTGTTTTTAAGGTAAAAAGTTAATATAAACATGTGTCCGGAAATGCATAATTTTAAAGATACAGGGTGTCAAGTCCTAATAGACATTTTTTTATTAATATTTCAAAGATCCGTTGGCCGATTTTGTTGAAATTTCGCCGTGTTGTGAATTTTGATAAGTTAGCACTAATTAAATGATAATAATCATGATTTACAACAATATTCAAACGGCAAATACTTATCAACTTATCCCAACAAATATTTGGCAACGCCTTGGATTCATTTGTTCATTTGTTTTAACGCCTGTTGGCGGTGGAAACCATGCAAGCTTTTTCTTTGTCCTAAGTTGATAATTAAAAAAAATAATAATCATATAAAAAATATGGTAATTAGTCTAAATTTATTATTTATGTGATTCTGCTCTTTCTCGTATAATCTAACAACCCATGCCTTGACATATTTTCTTTTAAAATAATATCGCTTTCTTTATCCGCCGGTCCAGACTCGACCTTGCCCTATTCGCTCATCAATGCCGGCTCTATCAACTTAAGTACGTGTTGACAGGCAGGTTATTGAACCCATGTTGCTTCTAGCATGTCGTTTTTTCAAAGATGGGTCCCATATAAACGCGGCCAGAAGTATTTTCAATACTAATATATTTGTTCGTCTAGTGTTTTTGGTGTCTTGTCCTGGCCGGATAAAAGATGCCTAAATCATATTTTTAATCATATCTCAATTTTTTCAAATGGAACAAGGGTGGTCCACTAGCATATTTGGAAAAAGCATTTTTTTTTACGAATAATTTTGTACCACACACTTGGTATTTCGAGTCAAATTGTCGTTATGAGCCGCATGTTTCAATTTCAAACAAACCATATGCGAAAATGTCAAAGGTTGACATATGATATGTCATTCTATTCAGAGTGCGATTTTCTATCGAATAAAGTAAAAAAATACCGAATGTGTCATTTAAAAATCAAAAGTTGTTATCATTTCCGGTGAAACAGAAAGTGACCAAAAACAATTGAATACGTCAATCAATCCTAATTTATATCATATACTAACATACCAAATCTCGTTTTGTTACTTAAAAAAAATAAAAAAAGGTAATAGGGGTGAGTCACTTTTGAGACGCACCCTGTATGATACCGCTATAAAAAGTTACCTAAAATTCAAAATTTTAATTTTGTGGAACTTCTAGAAGTATTTTAGAATTTCTATGACTGTGAGTGAGTCACTGTCGAAATTAAAGAAGTTTGAATAACAATAATTCGTAAACTTTGCATTTATTGTTGTTATATTAATATGTAAATAAAATGAGAGAATATTAATTCGATTAATTTCAGTTTTCTAAGTTTTTGTTGACTTGCCTTTCCAGTCAGGTACCGGCAGTGGCTAGACAAGTATCTTTTAGTTCATAAGGATATTTCGAGATTTTTTATGTTTTCCTTTCGTTATAAGCTTTAAGCAACCTAAAATTAAAAATATGAAGTTCGTGAAACATCTAGAAGTACCTTAGAATTTTGATTATGTTGAGTGAAACACTGTCGAAATTAGAGAAGTATGAATAGTAATAATTCATAAACTTTGAAGTATTGTATAAAATCAGATAATATCAAATCGATTGATAGTAGTTCTAACGACTTTTGTTTTCGACTTTCGGTATAACTCAAATTTCTTAACTTTAAAAATGTTCAATTCATGATTTTACCAGTGCTTATTCAGAATCATGTTTTTGTTAATTACGCAATATTTTTTTTTTATCTCGACTTCTAACAGCTATCTAATACCGTTTTCAGTACGTGGTAAAATATATATTTTTTATTTCTTAAATCCATGATCTTTATCATTAGATCATTGACATATTTTCATTGAATTAATTTGAGATAGTTTCTTTTGCTTTAACTTGTTAAAATCTTCTACCAGTATCTTATAAACGACAAAATACCTTTAAGTTATTGCATAATTTTTTAGATCTCTCCTTCTGTGAGTCAATTCCAGGATCCCGGGATTATATGTTCTTATCCTGTGATTTCAAAACGGGATCCTGATCCCGAAAATTGGAAACGTTACAGCCTGAAGATGCCTAGGTGATGACGCTCGTACTAATTTCTTAGCTGATTCAACAATATTCGTATTGTACATGAGAGCATAAAAAATGTCCAAATCTAATGCTATTTTTAACTAGGGTCAAATAAAAACAAAGCAGCACTTACATTGATAATTTTATAATTGCAAAATTCAAGGTTATTGATAAAATATGTTAATAACTTTTATCAATAACCTCTTTCTAAACTATAATAACATTAATATAAATATTTATGTAAATCAGCATCATTACTACATTTTTACATATTTTTTTACAGAACGTTCATCGTGGCTTTTTAATTTGACTGATGCATAACCGTTAGTATTTATTCCTCTTTGATTTCGATTGCTAGCCTATCATATTGTGAATTATAGGGAAAAATTAATGAAATTATTGACGGGAAAAAATATCAAAATATTTTTATTATATAAAAAATAGGTTCAGTGATTTTGGCGTTTAATTTATTATTGTGCCAATTCCCGCTGTGTAACTATTAATCAAATGGTTTTCCTGCAAAGCACATTTATTGTATAAGGTATTGACATAGTTAAGTCGAAAAATAGTATAACACATTTTCAGTAATCTAAAAAACAGTAATATAAATCCTATTTAATTTGGGTTTAATATCTTTATTAATGGGCTGTTTTGATCTACTGAACAAGGATATTTATATGTGAACCAACCTAGCTACCTAATCATTCAGATCAAAGTTTCTTACTTGCAAAATCTCAAACTATACACTTTTATTATTTAATATTATTAGCTTTAACCCAGTTCTATTTAATATTTTTTAGACAGTACTGAAACTTCAGTTATATTTTAACAATCTGTTTTGTTTTGATATTTAGTTAGAACAATAAGTTTTTTAGATTCTTCTTGCAATATTGTCTAAGGAATTCCTTTCAATTGAAGGGTCCAAGAGAAAACATGGTAAGCGCCATCTTACTAATTTTACAGGAGAGCACCGAACGGCTGGTGGTTATCAGGTTCTTTCGGCGTATTCTATATTTTCACTAGGAATATATCATAGGATTAAATAACTTATTGCACTGCAGAGTTTATACCATTTTTTTGTAGGGACTAGTTAGACCTGCTATAATATTGAGAAACCCTAAAATTAACAAATTGGCGCTTAGGTATCAAGTTATTCCTCTGGACCCTTCAATTATTTATGGCTCTAGTATTACTGTAAAAATGTATAAGTAATTTTTTTTCTACACTAACCGGCATGAAAAACAGGCATCTCAAAATTTTGATGTAAGTATATTTTAAAGTTTAATATAGGTATTTTCTTCTAGTGGGCCGACCTTGGTGATTTTTTAAGCCATTTGTACGAAATTATTTGAATATTTCGTATCTCTTTCTAAATTAAAAATGCTAGTTTCCATCTGAAGCAAAATGTTGATATTTTAATGAAAGTTTGAAACACCCTGTGGAATATGTTAGCACAAAGCAAGCATTTTAAAAATCATTTTATCATCTAGGTACGTCTTTATTTCGATAGTTTATTTTTTTATTCATCGCTATAGTTTTATTTTTATTGAATAATATTCGCTTTTGAATAAGACAGATAACGATTTACAGCCATTTTAGTATTGATTTTGGGTTCTCATCAACACGCTTAATAATTATTTTTGTAATAACACTGTCATTGAGAAGTTATATTATTATTGTTTAATCACGTTTACTCTAGTACAGAAGGTTTTAATTGCTGATTTAATTGATTGTTGCTTAATTGATCTATTGCTGCTTTAATAATTGATTATGGCAGAGATCAACTCTTAGACTTAAAACCATATCTGCTAGGGTAACTACCCAAGAGACAATAATAATATAATTTTTCAAACACAGTGATATTACATAAATCATAAACACTATTTTGTAGGTCTGTTAACAAGGACCGAAAGCAAGGACATAGTTTTAATGTAAAAGATACGAAAAAATGTTAGTATCTACTTCAAAAGCGAATATCTCCAAAAAAATAAAGCTATTGAGATGAATTAAAAAACGAACTGTCGAGGAAAGATACATTTAGATGACAAAATTATTTTTAAATTACTTGCTTTGTTAACGTACTCCACAGGGTATTGCAAACTTTAACCAAAATATCAACATTTTGTTTTCCCTCGTATAATTGACAGATGACAACTTTCACTTTTAATTCTGAAAGAGATATTAAAAAGTAAAATAATATAGATTTAAATGGCTTAAAAATCATCAAAATCGGTCCACTAAAACACAATACATAAAACTTTAAAATACATGAAAATGTTAAGGTACCCATTTTTCGTGCCGGTGATTATAATGCCGTACTTTAATTATTGTACTTCGGTAGGAATATTCTACCGTAATGGCGAATTTCGTAGGATATTTTGATACTTTTTCGTCATACTATATTGTTATATTATTATAACATAAGCAAAATCAGAATGGAAAAGATGCATATAACGTCCGCCGGACGTTATCATAACGGCCGGCGGCCGTTAAGTTTCTAAGGTAATCGTAACGTCTGTCACCTGCAACAATGACTATTTATTGTCAGTTGGACTTTTCAAAGTAGGAAAATAGACCATAGCGAAATGTCGCGAGAAATTCCGTTGGAAATACAGGAGGAACGGCCGGCGGCCGTTAAGTTTCTATGGTAATCGTAACGTTCGTCACCCGCAACAATGACTATTTATTGTCAGTTGGACTTTCTTTCAAAATTGGGAAAATAGACCATATAGCGAGATGTCGCGAGAAATCTGTTGGAACAAGTTGTGGAGGAAGCGGCTGCGGCTACTCAAAATTTACTTCCGACTATAACCAGAGAGAGATATATCAGCAGGAATATGACAATTTTTGAAGTGGCGGCAGGATAGAAGTATAAACAGCGTAAATGAAGCGGTATTGCTGGCTTATGCTAAAAGAATGATCTGAAATGTATTCTCCTACATCACTGTGGACAAAGATATCCATGCTGAAGCTTGTGTTGAGAGTATACGAAAACATCGACATATCAAGGTAAAAGCCATTATATTCTTCGATATTTAATCATACTCCATCTAAATTATATTTGTTCATAGATTTGGTAAACTGTTCATGTTTCTGAGGCGCAAAACGAAGGTTATTCACCAAAAAGCCAAAGTTCTGTCGGAGAATCACATAAATAATTTTCTACTGGATGTCGATGATTACACCTGGTTACTCGAAAAAGTTGTATTTTGGTGCTTGGTATTCTTGGAGCTTGTAGGCGCAGCGAGCTTTAGTCACTCACAGTTGATGATTTCGAAGATTCGGAGAAAATATTTTTGTCTCATTAAGAAATACTAAAAATAAGAAAGATAGGAAATTTCTTATTCCAAAAACGGCCTTCCGTTTGATGCCTTGGTTTATACGCTAAAAATACATCAACCCTGCGTCCTCGTAACTTTGACAATCCAAAATTTTTCATTGGTTACAAGAAAGCGCAAAAGTGTGTTAAGCAAATCGTCGGTATACATACCATCGGGAGCGTACCGCAGAAAATTGCAAAATTTTTGAACTTGGAGAATCCAGAACGTTATACAGGGTATCTCATTTCGTAGATCATCAGCGCAACCATGCTCGCCGAAAATGGTGGTGGATTTACTATCGCTAAAGGAGCTAGGAGGATGGGGAGTCTTCAACAGTGGCAGAAACTTACATAGAAAAATCAGTTTCCAAAGAATGAAAATAACAAATCAACTTTTTCATGATAGCTCCAAAAATAATGTGTCTTTAGTGGATACAAATATTTGCCATTCTTCAGTAGCATCATCTTCTTCTCTATAAAATCTGTAAATCCCTGGGAAGGATTACAGATTTCTAAGAACAACAAGTGCACTTTTAATTTCCATGTTCATTATCATCAAAAATGAATTTTAGTATAAGACATTATGTATTTTTATCCTTACTTGTGTTATTGTTCAATAAAATTTGTTATTAAATAGTAGTGTTTATTGCTCTAAAAAAATCTGCAGTATGACGAAAATCTAGAGAACGCAACACGGCCGATAACAAATAACGGCCTTGGCTGCTTATGATCCTCGGCTATCGCCTCGGATCAAAAACTTCAGCCCGGCCGTTATTTGTTGTTTATCGGCCTTATTACGTTAATAACTATTTTTTGTAATTAATCTCAAATCGTGCCGTGAAAATAAACTTTTATTGCCATTTTTCTCAGCATAACCGGGCGGTTATGAAGCAGTGCACAAAATATTACGGTAATTAACCCGATGAGAAAACTTAATAAGATTTTAGGTAGTCCGAGGAAATTATGAGCAGGAGGTCGTAAAAACTTGGATCGGTTTTTAACGGACCTTCGAGATATTCTGGCGTTAAATGCGCGGTTAAAGTGCATTTTACACGCCACAACTTGATGGTAAAATAGAAATTCTTTTAATTTTATTCTTTTTTTTGTTCCCCGTGCAGTAAAATGACGCAGCCTATAACTGCTTTTAACGTATTTGTAATTACTCACATAATAAAGATTAAATATAGGGTATTCCAATAAGAGGTTTCGGATGTTGATAACGAACATAATAAAAGTTTCATAACGTACCTAAAAATTGCTGGGCAGTGTAAAATTATACCTTCTTCTTAAGGTGCCGTGCAGATTCCTGCGTAGGCGTTCATCTTTTTCTTCCTCATCAGATGGTTCTGTTATCTGCCGCGACTTGGGGTGCTTGGAAGTCCTGTATGCCTGTCCAATGACGAATATTTCTCAGCCAGGATAGCTTCCTTCATCCTATCCCCCTTTTGCCCCCCTCTATTTTACCATGGAGAATCAGACGCTGAAAGTGATAGCGTTCTCCACGTAGTATGTGTCCCAAATAGGCTATTTTCCTCTTCTTTGATGATTTCGAAGAGTTCACGTTGTTCCAGACCAGCTCTTCTGAGAATGTTCATTCCTAACACGGTCGACCCAGGGCACTTCTTAGCATTCGTCCTGAGGTCAACATTTCTGAAGGCTTCAATTCGGTTTATTGTTGCTACCTTCAGTGTCCATGCTTCCCACACCACATGTAACAAAACGGACCAGACATAGCACTTCACCATTCTGTATCTAAGGCCGAAGTTCAAATTCCTATATGTGAGAAATCTTCGCAGTCTCAGAAAAGTAGATCTTGCTTGTTCGATCCTGCATTTGATCTCCTGATCCGGATCCCACGTTTCGTTAACCATGCATCCCAAATATTTAAATTGTGTGACCTGCTTGATGACCTCTCCATTTAAGTAAATTCTGGTGTTCGGTATATTGTTTCTGCTAACAGCCATAAATTTAGTTTTTGTAGTATTTATGTTTAAACCCAGTCTTTAACTTTCACTGTTAACCTTATTTAGAAGGATTTGGAGATCATTTGCATTGTCTGCCAATATCACTGTGTCATGCGCATATCGGATATTATTAATTGGAATACCATTTATCTTCAAACCAATGGGACTATCGGAGATTGACTCAGTGAATGCTCTTTCCACATATAAATTGAACAACATTGGAGATAGAATACACCCTTGTCTTACCCCTTTTTTTTT